TCCCAGCTAAAGAGGCCGGGATTAGCTGGCTGTCATTACAAGGGACCCTCTAACTCAAACCAGCTGCCATTCTGATTGATGGTGGGATTTGGAATTGCCCCCCCCCCCGCTTGGCACAGCAGGGCGCAGAGCATCAGCCGGGCATAAATAAACCTGCAAAGGTTATTCAACAGTTCCCGGCATCAGTGCCTTAGGAGGGTCCTGCTACTACGAGCTGCAAATGCACCAGCTATTGTCACGTCACACCTTCCTGTTACGCTTGCGTACCGTGTCCCTTATCCCCCTTCCCATCTTAAGGAAGCCAGTTGGAACAAAATGGCATCCAACTCAGATTCTTCTCGTTGATGGCACCAGGTCGCACAGATTGTGGGTTAGGGTATTATGGAACTGAGGGTGAAGGAAATGGGTGAATTAACCAAAATGGTTTTGGGACACTGAATGATCAGGATGAACTGGCTATGAGAATAACTTGATGCTTCACGGGGTGACCATGTTTGGACGCATCAAAGCACAACCAATTGAAACCATCAGTCTTTGCAGGTCATTTCCTCACAATGACTTTGTGTAGTAGCCATTCCTTCTATTAGCACAAACGCCACCATAAGATTGGATATCCATGTCGCCCGTCCCAGTCCTGCCTCTGTCTGGCCGGTATGGCTTGCTAAATGATGGCCTCTCGGGGCTTTGCTGCTGCCCCCCTTCAGCACATCACAAGTCAGCAGGAAAAGTTGGGGCTGCAGCATCAAGTGGGACTGGCATCACTGTGCAATTCCATCATTTGGAGATTCCACCACCACTTTTCTAGGATGGTTGATCTGCTCTTCGCCCAATTCCCCATCTGGACAACTCCCAGATTAAAAATAATTTGAAAATAAAGTTTCATATGGGAAGATGGTTCCCAAGGTTAATTATGCATCTACAGACATTTTTCAAGTAATTGAGAAGTAAGTAATTATAATAATAAATATGATTTGGGGACTGGAGGCTAAAATATGTGAAGAACGGTTGCAGGAATTGGGTATGTCTAGTCTAATGAAAAGCAGGATTAGGGGTGACATGATAGCAGTCTTCCAATATTTGAAGGGCTGCAACGAGGAAAAAGCACAGCAGCTGCATCTGAAGTTGAAGCCTCACCTCTGCTCAAGCAGGGGGCCGGCCTAGACGATTTCAGACAAATGGCTGTCCAGTCTCTTCTTAAAAGCCTCCAGTGATGGAGCACCCACAACTTCTGAAGGCAAGCCCTTTCACTGGTTAATTGTTCTCACTGTCAGAAAGTTTCTCCTTAGTTCTAGACGGGTTCTCTCCTTAGAGGGATCTTCAGTCAGCAGAAGATCCAGTAATGATCTGATGCTTATTAGGCTGGCAAATGGACCAACAGTGTCACTGTAAACGGAACAGATCCCTCATTGCCTCCTCCTCCTCCTCCTCTTCCCTTGAGCTGCTGCACCAATAAGATCTCAGTTAACATGGCCAGCTTGGATCTTGTTGTCCACCCCCTGCTGCATAATCCTCCCGTGACATCCCCATAATTGCCATTTTATTCCACTGCAATGTGACACCTCATAAGAAGACTTAGAGAAGGACTCTGGGGTCGGAGAAAGACTGTGGGTGGAGAATTCAGGGGCACTGCCATGTGTTAAGTTAAATTTGGAGTCCTTCTACAGACTTTAATGGAGTTGCTGTGGATTTACACCACTGTCCGAGCAGGTGTCAACAGCCGTCCTGACTCCCAAGCTTTTAGGAAGCAGCGCTGGCATTTGAGTCTAACTGCCCATGGCCAAATGCATTTCGTGTGGCTTGCCAGGCTATCACTATGTTTGCTTTCCTTCCTTCCTTCCTTCCTTCCTTCCTTCCTTCCTTCCTTCCTTCCTTCCTTCCTTCCTTCCTTCCTTCCTTCCTTCCTTCCTTCCTTCCTTCCTTCCCCCGTTCCCTCCCCTCCCACAAATCTAGTGTATGCTACAAATGCACCCATCAAACATCTGCTCTACTCTAGTAATGGGCAGGGGCAAAAGTTTAGGTCCTCTTTTGACCGTACAGTTAAAATTGCACAATATGCTAAGCCGGGGTTTCTACATCTGTGCTTCAAAAAGTTCAGAAAAACCACCAGATGGCAGCAAAGTGATACAGAAAGCTCACTCTTTGGTACCATCCTGTGGCCAAAGGACGTTTTGCAGCTTATTGCTGGTAGCCTTATGCTTAGCCCACTTAATTCGCCCTCCTGCCTTCTAATGATTAAGATGTGGTAGCCAGGCTCTTCCTGCTACAATGTCTTCCATTTCCATAAAAGTTTCCTTCCCCTCTTGATACTATCAGAAAAGCTCTTGGTTTCCCCGTGTATTTTTTTCAGGGAATTTAAATGGGTTGCTGCAGTTTTATGGTTTGATTTGTCATTATGATTTGACTATATACTATGGCAGAAGTACTGAAAAAATTCCATGGAAGGCTTTTCCCTGTTTGGAATGTAGGACCCCTCTGGAAAATGAGGAGGGGGCAGTTCTCGTTCCCCAAATTAATGGCTGCCAAAGGTTTAAACCACAGGGGAAATTGGCGTAACCTTGATATTTCCTTTCCTTGCTGGGACGCGGTGGAACATTCTGGGCACCAACTGTCCAAAAGCAGGATAAGAATGCCGGGTGTCCTGAATCTGCAAATGGGAGGCTGAATTTGATGTCCTTTTAAGGCCAGCCGTGACTTCACAGTCGGTCAAGTAACAATGGGAAGGGGTTACTAGTGTAGCAACTAGCAGCCAATGGGGCTCCCCGAAGGCTGGAGAAAACCTGGGATTGTGACTTAGGATGTGATGTTCTGTGGTGCCAGGAAGGAGCAGGCAAGGTATGGAGCATCCCTGGTTGAAGATGCACTGCCCCTTAAAAAACCGCGTGCCGCCCGAGGTAGGTTGGGGTGGGGGAAGGAGGTGGCCCTGCAGGGCTGCTACTGAGGCTGCTGCCTATTTGAGCCCTGGTGGCCCAGTGGATAGAAGGCAGTACTGCAGGCTACTTCTGCTGACTGCCAGCAGTTTGGCAGTTCGATCCTGACCGGCTCAAGGTTGACTCAGCCTTCCATCCTTCCGAGATCGGTAAAACGGGGACCCAGATTGTTGGGGGCAACAGGCTGACTCTGTAAACCGCTTAGAGAGGGCTGTAGAGCACTGTGAAGCGGTATATAAGTCTAAGTGTGATTGCTACATCACAGCTGCCCATTCTAGAGCCAGTTTCTGAGTTTTTAACAGCAATCCAAGACACATAATTTGTTTGTTCATTGATTTATAAAATTTATAGGTCAGCTATCTTACCTTAGCAGCAACCAAAGATGCAGTTTATTTATTTAGAAATTTATAGGCCTCTCATCTCATCTCAAGGTCACTCTGGGCAGCTTATTAAATCTCATGCCTCACTTTTTACAGCAGTGACAATAATATCACGGGAGAAATACTATGGATTGATTGCACTAGATTTTCTTGTTTGGCTTGACTCAGAGGACTCCTAAAAGAGCTTGTTAGAAAATCTGAATTTCTGCTTCTGTACAAAACAATGAGTGTCAACGCCCAGCCATCGAGAGACACAAGTGCCTCAAAAGTACTGATATTAAAACTGAGGACAGCTGAAAGACGCAGAGAACAGTCGTGGACATGACTTGTATTAAAGACTGAACCTTTTTGGTGTTATAGATTGTCAGTTCTTGTTTTGAAGGACTGCAGTTGGGACGGCACATATTATTCTGTGGAATGCACCAGCAATTTCTATAAAAATATAGCTGCAATTTTATTTTCCTCATAGTTCCTAACATGCACATTGTTCCCCGGACTAGTTCATAACAGACCCATTTTCCCCTTCTTCAGCTAATTCGTTGATAAGGTACAACTGTAATATAGGCATGCACCACACACACCCTCAAGTTGGGCAAGCATATTTTTTTTCAGCCACTGGAAAAAATGCAGACCTATGCATAAAAGCTTTGGATTAGACACCCCCTGGTTTCATTTCTCATGAATTTTCCTTAATAATACTAAGAAATAATTCCTTAATAATACTAAGAAATAATTCCTTAATAATACTAAGAAATAATAATTGCTAATTCTGTGGTCACACATTTCATTGTAGCAACCCTAGGCAGCTAATAGCATAAAAGGACAGAATGTGGAAGACATTAAATTCACAAGACATGTAAGTTGCAAGACAGGGGTCCCCAACCTGAGGGCTATGGGCCGATACCGGTCTATGGCCTGTTGGCCACTGGGATGCAGGAATGGCTGGCGAGTGCGTGCATGTATGCATGCACCCTCCTCACTCGCGCTAATGCTGCTGTGCGGGTTCTAGCAGCCCCGTTTGTGCATGCGCGGAGGCGCTAGCATCACCGCTGTGGGTGTGCTGCGCACATTTCCCTGCTCCTCTCTTTCCCTCCAGGCTGCCAACCTGGAAAGGTTGGGGACTTCTTCTGTGAGACAGTCAAGATAAATTTGACGGTATAGGTATTCCTCGACTTACAACCGTTCGTTTAATGACCCTTCAAAGTTACAACGGCACCGAAAAATGCGACTTATAAATCATTTTTCAAAGTTGTGACCTTTGCAGCATCCCCAGGGTCATGTGATCAAAATTCAGACGCTTGGAAACTGGTTCATATTTATGACCTTTGCTGTGTCTCAAGGTCACGTGATCCCCTTTTGAGACCTTCCGACAAGCCAAGTCATTGGGGAAGCCAGATTCGCTTAACGACCGGGTTACTAACTTATCAACTGCAATGATTCACTTAACAACTGGGACAAGATAGGTCGTAAAATGGGGCAAAACTCACTTAACAAATGTCTCGCTTAACAACAGAAATTATGGTCTCAATTGTGGTCGTTAAGTCAAGGACCACCTGTATATATATATATTAAAAATCCAATGCATTGATACATAAGAACAGCCGTAAGTTTAAAATAATACTTTTCTCTTCTTTGCCTGCCATTTGAATAGTTCTGTCATTTGTGCTTCCTTCCAGAGACGACTGTTTTAAATATGGCCATCGTCCCTCTACTTTTCCTGGCTGCCCTAGCATTAGTCCATCACCCCCTCTTGGTCAATGACATCACAGATTTGGCCACCCTGAATCGTCTCCAGGAGCATGAGACGCGGCTGACTACGGAAATGGGGCGTCTCCAGGTGGAAATGGACCAAAAGAACTGGAACTGGGATCTCAAACAGAACCGGGAACAATGGATCACAGAGGACGTAGAAGCAGGGGGTGGAACCTGGGATGGGTGGCCTTATGTAGGGCTAGTTATCATCCTCCTGTTTGGATGCTGCAGACGCACCGCTGAGAAGGAACCCAACGACGATTCTAGCACGGACAGCTCCAGCACCACCACCAACGGAGAAGATTTTGAAGACACTGACCAGGAACCCGAAGATTATCAATCCAAGCAAAAATTGCTGGAGGCTTTTTACGAGCAGCAAATCGAGACAGGAACCGGTGACATGCCCAGCTTGTGTGATTTTGTGGAGATGTTAGTGAATGATTTGATCGAAGAGAGTCGGAATCAAAATCTACTTCTGCTGGAGAACTGCATCGGGGTGGGCAGCGCCTTTGAAGGGTGGTCCACGGAGGCTTCAAAAACGTTCTGTATCCTTGTGCCTATATTGCCACCCAAGGGCCATTCCTTTCACATTGAAACAAGCGACTCCGAGGGTGCTCCGGGTAAGCATGGACACATCTTGGTGGAGGCAGAGTGCCTGTGTAAGAGAGAGAGGCTGCTGGGGGACGTGGTATGCTCCCTTCATCACCCGGAACGAGAGCTGAGCCAGGAAGAGCAAAGCAAGTCCCTGATGCATGTTCTTTGCACCAGCTCCCATTTGGATGGGGAGAAAACCATCCAGTGGTTCCAAGCTCTGGTAAACAAGGTCTGGGACGCTCTTGCTCAGAAGTACAATTTAAGTCTCACAATCCAGAATTCCAACAAAACCTGCCGGCTGAAATTAGAACTTCAATCCAGGAAGGAGATCTTTATTGATATCTTACTCGGAGTGCAGCAAGGAGACTCTCTGATCTTCCTGACCACCCAAGATGGCCAAAAAGGCAGTCCGAATGGTATGGTTTGGCACAGAAGCTTTGCTGTTCAGGAGCTGCTCTTTTTCAAGTGGGTGAGCCAGCGAGCTCCCAAGGACAGCTGCCACTTGAAATGTCTTCAGATCCTCATCTTCTTCAGAGAGTCTAGCACCCCAGATAAGAAGAACCCGGTGCTCACAAACTATCACTACAAGACTTGTTTGATGCATCTCTTGCTTTTCCGGCCTCTGTCCTACTGGGAACCAGAGCAAATCGCACAAAGACTTCAGGACCTCCTCTTGCATATGAATACTGCCTTGGAACAAAAATATCTGGAACACTTCCTCATAGGGAACATCTCTTTGCCCATTCAGATTCCTTTGCCCAAGAGCCTCAGAAGTGCCGTCCCCTTCAACCTTTTTGAGTACTTGGCCCAAGACCCACGCCTTCACGCCAAGGCAATAAATGAGTTTGTGCAGGTTGTAGAGCAGGTGAGGACACTCTGGCTAGCACCTGAAGAATAGCAACGCTCAACTCCGTTTGAAAGGCCAGCCTCCTTTGGCTCTTCCCTGAATTACACATCCTTAACAGAGCCAAAAAGGTGAGGAGCATTGTCTCCAGCAGTGAAACAAAGCTGGATTAGCTGTCTCACGTCACCGATGATCCTGGAATGGTATTTGGGTATGCTTCAAAATGATCTGGGCAAAGGCCAGTAATATTTCAAAGAGCCCTTCAAGTAGGATTAGCGTCCTAGTGTCAGCTATTCTTCAATATTTTTCTACATTTTAATTCCAGACAAATTTGCTCTATTAGACTTGAAATAAAGATTCCAACAAACTCTGTTCTTAAGCTTCTCATAGCATCCTTCCTGGGCTAATAAAATCAGAGTCTCCTACCAGTTTTCTGAGTTTTCAACTTTTCCAAAACCAAGTTGAGAATGTTCTGTGTCTCGGATGTGAAGGCTGAGGTGCCAGAGATGGGAGCTAGGTGGTTCCTAGTTTCTACAGATAGTCCTCGACTTACCACAATTGAGCCCAAAATTTCTATTGCCAAGCAAGACAGGTGTTAAGTGAATTTTGCCCCCATTTTACAGCCCCTTTTGCCATAATTGTTAAGCAAATCACTGCAGTTGTTAAATCAGCAACCCAGTTGTTAATATGGCTTCCACGTTGACTTTGCTTGTAAGAAGTTCACAAAAGATGATCACGTGACCCTGGGACACTGCAACCATCATAAATATGAGACAGTTGCCAAGTGCGGGAATTTTGATCACGTAACATGTGGATGCTGCAATGGCCCGTAAGTGTGAAAAATAGTCATGTCACTTTTGGCATGCCATTGTAACTTTGAATGGTCACTAAACAAACGGGATGAAGTCAAGCACTATCTGTACAACTTCTCTCTGTGCTGTAAATGAATCTATAATTATAGCCATGATTTGTTAGAATTGTAAGAATTGGCAATGGCTGCTGATGCCATCAAATCCAAACTCTGCTCAGTAAAACAATCTCTTTGAGCCACCACGGCCAGTTTTCTTGGAAGGGGTTTTGCCACTTTTTTGCCCAAGGTGCCTTTTCAGTTCCCGAATCTGGGTATGCAAGTTATAGGCTGCTCCTGGCAAATAAAGCAGCCACTCTTTTTCAAATACAGGTAGTCCTCGACTTACAACCCACAACTGAGCCCAAAGTTTCCACTGCTAAGCAAGACAGTTAAGTGAGTTTTGCCCCATTTTACAACTGTTCCTGCCACAGTTCTTAAGTGAGTGACTGGGCTGCTTTGGCTGGCTGTGCTTGTAGCTCAGGGACTCACCTGCCACCGCCAGGGTCCTGAAGGGCCACTGGGCCCGGATGCTGTGCAAGAGGAACCTGGATGCTTAGGGAAGGTGGCCTTGGAGACGCGCTACCGCCTGGGAGCGTTGATCGGGAGTGGCGGGTTCGGCACGGTCTACGCGGGGACGCGGCTCAGCGACTCTCTCCCCGTGGCTGTTAAACATGTTGCCAAGGATCGAATCTTGCAGTTCCATCATATGAATGGCACCCTCATCCCTCTGGAAGTCCATCTGCTGAAGAAAGTATCACCCTCAGCTTGCCGAGGTGTTGTCCGCCTTCTGGATTGGTTTGAGCAGCCTGACTCGTACTTCATTGTTATGGAGCGACCCCTCGTTTCTCAGGACCTGTTTGACGTTATCACAGACCAGGGGCCGCTCCCAGAAAATGTGGCTTCTGGTTACTTCCAGCAAGTGGTGGAGGCAGTACACCCTTGCCACCTGTGTGGCATCAAGACGTAAAAGACGAAAGCATCTTGGTAGACCTTCTGCACGGTGACTTAAAGCTCATAGACTTTGGCTCGGGTGCATTGCTGCGGGATACTCTCTACCAGGGCTTTTTTTCTCAGAGAAAAGGTGGTGGAACTCACCTCCCTCCCCTGGCCACGCCCCCACCCAAACCTGGCCACGCCCTCATCAAACCCTAGGACCGCCCCTTTAGAGAACAGGAATGCAAGTAAAATTTGGGAGGGGCTATAAAAGCAGCGTCCTCTTCTCCGCCTTCAGCTTTTGCTCTGAGAAGCCGCGCGCGTTTGGCTTTGAGGGCGCCGGCGTGAGAGCCTCTGGATTCTCTGCCGCTTCTTGCTCGGGCAGGGTCGCCTAGGAAACGGGCCAGGGGCGCGCCGACCGAGCCTCCCTATGGCCGCGGTTGTGAGCCAGGCAGGGGCAGAGAGCTGCGAGTGCGAGCGTGCCCCCCCAGATGTTGCGCCCGGTGCGGCCGGCCCGGAAAAAGGTGCCGGAACGCGGTTCCGCCGCGTTCCGGCTGAAAAAAAGCCCTGCTCTCTACACAGATTTTGATGGCACACAGGTATACAGCCCCCGAGTGGGTAAAATACCACCACTATCATGGTGTGCCTACCACAGTGTGCTGCTATATGATATGGTATGTGGGGACATCTCTTTTCAATGTGATGAGGAGATCCTGCTTGGGAAACTCCACTCTCACTGTAGGACAGTGGTGGCGAACCTATGGCATGGGTGCCAGAGGCGGCACTCGGAGCCCTCTCTGTGGGCACACGTGCCGTTGCCCCAGCCTTGCCTCCTCCTGCGACCCCCTCACCAGCAACCCCCCTGGAGAGTTGCCCCCCGAGCGTGGCCCACACGGAGCAGCACAGCCAAGGACATGGCAACCAAGCAGCGTAGACAAGACTCTGCTAACATAGTAAAATGAACAATTATTAGAATAATGATTTGTCTGCATAACTGCAATAATGATGTGTCTGCATAATTGCTAGAATAATGAGGTAATGCATAATCACTGGGAAAAATACACTGAGAAAATTCTGTGTCAGAAATATGCGGCAACCAAATGCGCTTTGCACATGGATACTTTGTATGTAGCAAAACCTTCCATTGTATGCCTGTGAGAAACGGTCCTAATGTATCACAGTGTATTATCATGTGTAGTCCCTTTGTTCCTGAAAGGAGGGTAATATAAAAACTGAAGTCTAATCCCGCCCTCCTCGTTCAGAATTGCCTATCTCTAATATGCCTCTGAACCTTGCGCAATAAACTTCTCTGCTAAACCCCTCTGGAATTCGTAAGAGTTCTTTCGTTTTCCACAAGACTGCCCTCATACCCCATGCCGCACAGTTGATGCTGCGGGGCGCGGGCAGAGGGCGTGGCTGCCATGCGCTGCTGGGCTGCCTGGGCGATCTGCGGCGGGCCCTGGAGACGGTGAGTGGCCCTGCGGGCAGGCAGGGTGAGGCGGGGTGGGGTGGGCCAGGGCCAGTTTTGGGGCACTCTGTCTCTAAAAGGTTTGCCATCACTGCTGTAGGATATCCTCAGATTGCGCCACTTGATTGAATGGCGCCTCTCGTTAACACCAGAGAAGCCGCCTTCCTTGGAGCGGATCCTGGCTCATCCCTGGAGCCTCACCTTCTTGGAGCCAAGCGGGCGGCTGTTAAGCGAATCTGGCTTCCCCCCCTTGACTTGGCTTGTCAGAAGGTCGCAAAAGGGGGTCACGTGACCCCGGGACACTGCGACCGTCATAAATAGGCGTCAGTTGCCAAGCGTCTGAATTTTGATCAGGTGAACCTGGGGTTGCTGTAAAGGCTGTAAACTATGAAAAACGGTCAAAAGTCACATTTTTCAGTGCCGTTGCACCTTTGAACGGTCACTAAACGAACTGCTGTAAGTCGAGGACTAGCTGTAAGGCGGCTCCCTTTACACTTTCTAGCTCTATGCACCCCACATCGTCCATGGCGCCCTCCGTTAACTCCGCCCACCCAATCGCGCGCCTCTTCACATCCGCTCCTTGCGTGATGACGTCACGCATCTACAGCGCCTGCGTAATGCGGCCGCGGGGGGCGATTCAAATTAGTGGCGTTTCCCGAGCGAGGAGAATTCATGGCCGACGACGCCGGGGAGAGGGTCGTCGCCTGAAGACTACGAACGGCCGCGACTAGTCCTCCGCACTCCGGTGAGCGCAACGCCTTGTGGGCTAGACGGGAACGAAGAAATAAAAACTCCTGCTGAGGTAAATTTCGGCAGCCGCGCTTTGAGCAGGAAAATGGGAAAGGCGCAGAAAAAAAAAAGGGGCGGGAGAAATGTTGTCTAGGGAACTGCGCGCCGATTGGTTTTCTGCGAGGGGCGGGAATATGAACCGTTTGGCTATTCGACTATTCAATCGGCTCAGCTGAGCGCGGCACACCTAAACTCGCCGTCTGATTGGCTAAAAGAGCCAGGTCGGGTATTCAAGCGGCTGCGGGCGGGGAGCAGCCGCAATTTGAACGGGAGGAAGTGCGCACGCGCTGGATGCCTCGCTTACTTCTGGTATTTCAACTCGGGTTAATTCGTGAACGTCGGGCCTCTTGAATTCTGACTCGTAACAACCCGAGATCTTGCAGTTGCCCAAAATGCACGTTCAGTAAATCGAAAGCGACCTTGCCCGCCCTGCCTCCTCCGTCCACGAGTGGGAAGTACGACTGCCAGAATGCTTAGCCACGGGATGACTTGCGAGAATTGCAGTTCCCACGTGTTTATTGAGTATCTCTGCAGAAGGCTGGGTTGAAGGTTCCTGAAAGCCCAAGGCAGGGGTAGGGAACCTCGGCTCTTTTATGGCTTGTGGACTTCAACTCCCAGAATTCCTGAGTCAGCATGGCTGGTTCAGGAATTCTGGGTATTGAAGTCCACAAGTCATAAAAGGGCCCAGGTTCCCTACCCCTGGCCTAAGAGGGATGCCTGCTGCAAATGACCAAGCGGCAGCCCCATCATGTTTCTATTACTGGAAAAAAAGCATGCACAGTTGGAAGAGACCTTGGAGGTCTTCTAGTCCAGCCCCCTGCTCAAGAGAGGCAAATGGCTGTCCAATCTCTTCTTTAAAACTTCCAGTGATGGAGCACTCAGAGCTTCCGGAGGCAAGCTGTTCCACTGATTGTTTATTGGACATGATTTATCCTGCTTGCCAGCCCAAAAAAGTAATGAAACCAGGTCTGCATTTAGGAGAAAGAGGCTAAAAGTAACCAACACGCAGATCCGTTAAGTAGCAATTGTAAAAAAGATGTTGAGATTCTGGAAAGAGTACAGAGAAGAGCAACAAAGATGATTAGAGGACTGGAAGCTAAAACATAACGGTTGCTGGAATTGGGTATGTCTAGTTTAACGAAGAGAAGGACGAGGGGGGACATGATAGCAAGCCTTCCAGTATCTCAGGGGATGCCACAAAGAAGAGGGAGTCAAGCTATTTTCCAAAGTGCCGGAAGGAAGGACAAGAAGCAACGGATAGAAACTAATCAAGGAAGAAGCAATCTAGAATTAAACATTTCCTGACAGTTAGAACAATTAATCACTTGCCTCCAGAAGTTGTGAATGCTCCAACACTGGAAGTTTTTAAGAAGAGACTGGACAACCATTTGTCTGAAATGGTATAGGGTTTTCTGCCTGAGCAGGGGATTGAACTAGAAGATCTCCAAGGTCCCTTCCAACTCTGTTATTCTGTTCAAAGGCAATAGCACTTTATAGTGTTTTACAGCAATGTCTGAGCGATTTACAAATGCCAGCATATTGCCCTCAACAATTTGGGTCCTCATTTTACCAACCTTGGAAGGATGGAAGGCAGAGTCAACTTTGAGTTGGTCAGGATTGAACTGCTGGTTTGTGGGTAGAGTAAAAGAGGTAGCTGAGCAGAAAATAAATTGCAGACTAAAAATCTACTAGGGCAAGACAACGTTTTCCATTCTGTTTGTTTTTTGCTAGTGATCATGAACTTTTCAACACCACAGTCTGCTGGCTCCAAGGGTGATGCCTCTTCCGACAGTCGGTTTGTATCCCCTGGCACCAGACGACAGCCGCTCAGTGCCTCTGGCACCCCAGTGCTGCAGAGCTGCCCCCAGAACGATGATGAACGGGAGAGAAAACAGCGGAGACGCTCCAGAGTGTTTGATCTACAGTTTAGCACTGAATCGCCTCTGTCCATACAGTCCCCAGTTAGCAAGTAAGAGCCATTTTTACACACATAACCATACCTGCCAAAAAAGAGTGACTGTGCCATTGCACTAGAATATGCAATGGAGATTAGGATGTGCTTTGAAACTTTTAAGGAGGTGGGGCTTGAAGCATGATTAGTTTACAGAAATGGGCCACTTCAAGGATGGATGGATGGGAACACTCTATCTAATGTTACACATCTTTACGGCCGCCAGACTGACCTATGCTCAAAATTGGAGAAACAAAGAAATTCCTACTGAAGAAGAGATTCTACAAAAAATTTTATCATGTGCGGACATGGACAGGCTAACTATGGAATTAAAGGAGAAGACGGAAACAGATTATTTTGGAATCTGGGACAAATTTTACTGTTGGTATGAGTCAAGAAGAACTGGTCGGGTTTTGAGTTAAAGTTTAAATTTGTGGTATATAAAATTATGTGTTAATACGTAGAGAGATGTATATTTAGAACTTTAAATATGATAAGGAACGAATTACTAGGATCATGTATACTGGAACGTCATGTNAAAAAAAAAAAAAAAAAAAAAAAAAAAAAAAAAAGGATGGATGGATGGATAGATAGATAGATAGATGGGTGGGTGGATGGATGGATGAGAGAGAGAGAGCCTTGTCCACGTCCATATGTCTGCATTTGTCTTGCAGGCAAGCAGAGACATCGCTGCCAGCAATCCCACAATTGTCCAATACTCAGATTGCAGATCATTACTCCACGTGCATCAAGCTTTCAACAGAAAATGTGAGTTAAACTTCTGCTCGCTACTCACAACTGTACAAAAGAACTGTTCAGACTTACTACGTCAAGCTTGTGACATGGATATTTGTTAGCTTTGTTGTGGTTCACGCATAGCCCTAACTATTGGTGGCATTTCATACTGAGGGGTGCTACTCCATTTTAGGCAAGAAATCCAACATCTTAAGATTATGGCTTGGTATTTCAGAGGTGAGATTGCTGAACGTTTTTGAGCTTGGTGATGCACACAGTTGGGGTCATTGTTAAAACATATTGTTCACCACCTTTCCAGAAAATCACCACAAAGAATGCATTTGGCTTACACCTCATTGACTATATGACTGAAATACTCAAGCAGAAAGATTCTGAACTCACCAACTTCAAGGTCAGTTTTTCCCCTAATTCGGCTTACTTTGATGTACATAGAATATGAACAGCAAATGCTGGGTTATCTTTCATATTGCTTGTTGTGCATGACTGGCTTGAAAGACTGTGATGACTGGGTGATGAGCACAAAACTACCCTTTCCTTTTGGTTACATTCCTTTCGGAAGAACCGCCCCTTCCAATACGTGTCCAGTATGCTAGAGATTGTGCCATTTATGGAACAAATATATCTGGAAAACTGCTGTAGGAAATAAAGATCAGCCATCCCCCCCCCCCCACCCCACAAACAGGTGGATTGGTCTACATCAGGGGTAGGCAACCTTGGCTCTTTTATGACTCGTGGACTTCAACTCCCAGAATTCCTGAGCCAGCCATGCTGATGGGAAAGGGAGAGGTTTCCAAGCTGAGCCATGCTGGCTCAGGAATTCTGGGAGTTGAAGTCCACGAGTCATGAAGGGGCTAAACTTTCCCCCATGCTGGCTCAGGAATTCTGGGAGTTGCAGTCCACGAGTCATGAAGGGGCTAAACTTTCCCCCATGCTGGCTCAGGAATTCTGGGAGTTGCAGTCCACGAGTCATGAAGGGGCTAAACTTTCCCTCATGCTGGCTCAGGAATTCTGGGAGTTGCAGTCCACGAGTCATGAAGGGGCTAAACTTTCCCCCATGCTGGCTCAGGAATTCTGGGTGTTGAAGTCCACGAGTCATGAAGGGGCCATAGTTCCCCCATGCTGGCTGAGGAATTCTGGGAGTTGAAGTCCACGAGTCATGAAGTGGGCCATAGTTCCCCCATGCTGGCTCAGGAATTCTGGGAGTTGAAGTCCACGAGTCATAAAAGAGCCAAGGTTGCCTACCCCTGGTCTACATTCTATTAGCTCCTGAGACTCCTGGGGCCTGTTGTATGTTCAAGGAAAGATTGCAAAATTGTTGAGATATGAAAACAATGGCTAGTATTCCTGGCCCTATTTCTAAATTAAGTTGATCTCCCATGTTGGTTTTGAAAGCCCTAGTTCCAAGTGAATAGGCAGAGGAGAAAAAAGGCAAAGAATAGAAGCTCTGTTTGTATTATTTTGGCTATTACTCAAAAGACATTTAAGGCATAAACTCTAGCCCCAGGTTGGGGTCTATCTCATTTCTTTAAATTTGCTTTTACAGGTAGCAGCTGGTACCCTAGATGCCAGCACGAAGATCTATGCTGTGAGAGTGGATGCTGTCCATGCAGATGTTTATCGCGTCCTTGGAGGGTTGGGCAGAGATTCTGCAGCTACCGAGACTGAGAATAACCAGGATACAGGTGGGCCTTTTGTGGCTATTAACAGAGCCTATAATTTGGAATAGCTTGGAATAGTTCCAGCAAGCTTTGGTTAAAGTGCTGCAGAAAATTCCACTCGGGCCCCTGGAATGTCCTTTTCTAGGTGGTGGAAAGGAGGACTTGGAGCAGTCCAAGAAGCGTTCGATTAAGAGGAAGCATCTCTACAAAACCATTGAACAAAATCTGAATAACATCAACGTCTCCGAGACGGATCGCAAGTGTGAGGTGAGAAAGTCTGTGAAAATGATTTTTCTTGTCCCTGTATTGTTACCTGACAGGGACAGTTTGTATGAGATTGGTTGCAGAAACAGAAGGTGTGAAGTACGGGCCGTGGAGAGGCAGAAAGGCTCTGCTCTTTTCTGGTCCTCGTGTTAGAACTGTCCTTCTGATCGTCGGAGAGGCAGCCTGCGTCCCTATCACCCAAGTTTGCACTCAATTTTATGATTTTCTGGTTGCGAAAAGGAGATAGTTCTGCTTCTTTCAAATCTGATGGTTCTCTGTGTTTGATACAGAGAACAGTAGTTCAGCCAGCTTTTCAACCTGGCAGTTGACATTTAAACCTGGGTGTTTGTTTACTAAATTTGTTTGCCACCCATCTCATATCAAAATGACTGGGCAGCTTACAGCATTACAACATTAAAATCCTAACAGGTAAATATTTCTAAAACAATAAAATGGAAATCACAATCAAAATAAAATTATAGTTAAAAGATGGGGAGGGGGGAGGGAACAGGATACAGGGGGTGGGAGATAGGATTGTGTCTTAATTCAGCAACCACCTCCAGTTTTTCCTGTTTTTTTTTCTTCAGAGTGATCCCATGTTCCAAAAAACCGCCTCGTCCTTTGATGAATGCAGTACAGCTGGAGTGTTCCTTACCACACTTCACACGCACAGCCACCTCAGTGAAGTCCTATTCGATTCCATGGTTGTTCCTCTGCCTTCTTCTGCGACTTCTGAGATGCCAAGTTCTTCTCCTGTCAACGTGACTGATTTAAAACGTAGGCATGAAAAATTGGTAGCAAACGATTATACTTGCAATAATGTTTGTTTTGAGTATGTTTGAGATGGAGCAAGAAGGACAGACCTTAAGTGTAGTTCGTGCAAATAACTGGTGTTTACCCCTCTTTTCCCTCCCCTGCTGTCATTCCAAGTTATTAATGTTCAATGGGGAAGACCGAGTCACTTAACAACCGTTGCTAGCTTCACAATTGCAGTGATTCACGTAACCACTGTGGAAACAAAGATTGTAAAATGGAACAAAACTCACTTAGCAACTTTATCTTTCTTAGCGAGAGAAATTTGGGGCTCAATTGTGGTCAAGGACAACTTGATTGTGTTACACTGCCTATAAGAATCTCACTAACTTAACTAAAACTGCTGTGATTGACTTAACAATTGTGGCAAGAAAAGTAGTAAACATGGGGGGAAATTCACTTAACAAATGTTTCGCTTAAAAACAAATTTTGGGCTCAGTTGTGGTCATAAGTCAAGGACTACCTGTATAGGAAAGGACCTTTGTATATTGCAGGAGTGTCAAACTGCTGGCCCACGGGCCGGATGCATCATAGCGAAGCCGCGCCCACCCCATTGCCGGCAATGGCAAAAAAGTCACGATATGTCGCGACACGTCACGTGACGTTGCGAGTTTGACACCCCTGGTATATTGGAAAGCTTACTGACATCTAAGATTTTAATAGCTTTTAATCTCAGATTTCTTTTTGAACTCCCTTCTTTTTGCTATCGTATCTAGCCATCCTTCTACGATGTGTTGAAAAGTCTGCCATTTGCCCTTCATTGTCTGGCTTTCTGTTTACTCAGTGGAACAGTGAAACCCATAACGAGGTACACAGATCTGGTTGCTGCTTTGTATCAAAAGAAGTTGTCATAGTAATCTTATATTTAGTTCAACATTTTTTTCATTTGTGTCCAGGAGATGCCACCATCTCGTGGGCTACTGGGTTTCTTACCAAATCTTGTTTCTAGAGGTTTTCTCAAGTTCTATTATGAAATGTTTTAACTTAAGACAGCTTGAACCTTGCAGTGAAATTTGGCTTTTCTCAGCTTTATCATTACTTGTGATGGTGGCGCAGTGGTTAGAATGCAGTACTACAGGCTACTTCTGCTGACTGCCGGCTGCCAGCAGTTTGGCAGTTCAATCCCCACTGTCTCAAGGTTGACTTGGCCTTCCACCCTTCCGAGGTCGGTAAAATGAGGACCCAGAGTTGCTGACTCTGTAAATCGCTTTGAGAGGGCTCTAAAGCACTGTGAAGCGATATATAAGTCTAAGTGCTATTGCTAAGTGCTACTATTCTATAACTATTTAGGGCCTAGCGTTGTACAGTTAGCTTTTGATTAATGGTCATTTTGAAAGACAAAAAAAAATATTCCCCTTAAAATGTTGTTTTGTGTTCAGTCAGTCTCTGCTCTACTGGATAAATTCAAGAAGAGTGACCAGGCTTTTGATATCAACGCAGAGGCTGATAACGACCCCCAGGAATTTGTTGACGACAGAATGGAAGATGATTTTGATGCTGACGTTCTAGACAAGACGATGGCAAGAGATCTTGGCGAATTCTCCGAGAAGCTGGAGGCACACCGCATAGCACCGGGAGACTCAAGGCATGTCCTTCCTGGGATATTTGGGGGTGGGGGAGGTGCTCTTGAGAAGTTTTTAAAGAGAGTTGCTTGTTGTCTTCCCTGAAAAACGATCAGGGACAACATTTGTAAAAACATGTATGTTATTCATGTGGTCTTTGACTTACGACCGTAACTGAGCTCAAACATTCTGCCGCTAAGCGAGACATTTGTTAAGTGGGGTTTGCCCCCATTTTATGACCTTTCTCGCCGCAGTGAATTGATTGTTAGGTCAATAACATGGCCTCCCCACGGACTTTGCTTATCAGAGGCTCACAAAAGGGGATCACGTGACTCCCAGGCACTGCAACTGTCACGAATACATGCCAGTTGCCAGCCATCTGAATTTTGATCATGTGACCCACAGGGATATTGTGGTGATTGTAAGTATGAAACACAGTCATAAGTCATTTTTTTCAGTGCCGTCGTAACTTCAAACAGTCACTAAACAAACTTTTAAGGCGAGGACTACCTGCACAGCAAACATGAAGACGCAACGGTCCCTCTTTTAAACTAGTGTTCAATCTGTTTCTTGTAGAGAAAAACTGGCTTCAGTAAGAGAAGGGGATATTGGGTCCATGTGTCTGCAGCTGTCTATGAACCCCAGCGAGTATTCTTACTTCAGCCCCCGAATTATGTCCATGTGGGCAGGCCCAGAGCACTGGCGTTTTAAACCACGCCACAAAGGTACGGTGGACAGAGGTTGGGGAGGGATTGTTAAGAGTTAAGCAGTCAAAGTTAATTGTGGCATCTCCTAAATTTATGAAGAATCACAATCTTTTATCTGTTACTGTTTCCCTTCCTGTGCTTTGAGTCTGTCTGACTTCTTTTACTATTTTCTTCTTCTGTTTCATCAGTGCTGCGTGTGAGTGCCTGTGAGTTCACACATGCACATTCCCCTTCTCAAAATAATGCTCTGCTCTGGATGCTGCTGCTTGAAGTTTACAAAAGCATATTCTGTAATACACAGTAGAGTATATGTTGATCTCTTACTCTGTAATAGAAATGGCATCACGGTATGTCTCATTTTTGCTTAAGAGCATATAGATAAATGTGTAGTGGTTGCATTTCCAATCCGCTGTAATTGTTTATTTTCTCACATCACAACCAGGATTGGTAGGTCAGAGTAGAGCTATACCTAATGTTTAATTATTTTGAGAGTGCCATTTTGTGTTGCCTGTTCAAAGACAATTGGAGTTCACTTTTATGAAAGAATACAGTTCATGCCTACGTGCAGAAACACTTAAAAAACAGAAGATTTAATATTCTATTCCTTCCATCATGTTGCATTGTGTCTTCTGTCATCTGCACAGGTGATGCCAACCCTGAAAAAGTCAGTAAAAGGAAAACGATTAAGAAAGCCTTTGAGATCAATTTTGACGAGGAGATTGATTTTGAAGTTCACTTCCGCAAAACCCGGGTATGCTTTTTCCCGAAGGTGGAAAATCATTACAGAGAGAAGCCACCTAGAACTTAAGGAGAAATTTTCTGACAGTGAAAACGATTCATCAGTGGAACAGCCTGCCTCCAGAAGTTGTGGGTGTTCCATCACTGGAGGTTGTCAAGAAGAGGCTGGACAGTCCTTTGCGTGGAATGGTATAGGGTCTCCTGCTTGAAGAGGGGTTGGACTAGCAGACCTCCAAGGTTCCTTCCAACTCTTACTCTCCAGGGTGCCCCAATATTTTGTAACCGGTAGTTTTAAATAAGGATCTAAATTAGCAGCCCTTTTTGGAGTACAGTTTGCAAGCAACACAAATGCATCCGGTGTCTTCAGTCCCTGAGTTGTCAGAGATCAATATTGTAAGTGTAGACTGCCCTCCTGTGGACAAACCCCTACCACATCCTCTGTTCCTTTTGTCTGCCCCTCCTGCCATCAGCATTGAGTGCCTGAAGGAAAGGAGAGCTTGCTCTGTGCTGCGTTCTAGCATCCTGCTTGGAGATGGTTAATGTTCTGATTTCCTACAGTGGGAAATCAATTGTTAGAAAAGAGAGATGCCAGCACAGCCTTCTTGCTACCTGGCAATTCTGCTCAGGATCATGACTTGCCTGTTAAATTGGCAACTCGCTGGAATTTCTCAGTGTCGCCGTCGGTGCTCTGAGCTACGGAGTATGCCCTCAGGTGGAGTCAGGGCTTTGATTCCCACTCTGACTCCCAGTAAAAGACTTATCACTATCTCTTAGGTGACATAACTCAACCACTACCACTCTGGAAGAATTGTTTCTACTCCTAAACTTTGTCTGTATTCATTTTGCTATGATCTGCAAGCAAAGTAGCTGCACACGTAATCAAGAAACAATAACACATTTTAAAACTAAACTTATTTCTGACTTGTGGCAGGCTATCTACATGGCCAATATTGCAAACACTGCCCCATACCTTTCTCTAGTTTTTATTTAAACCGGTTGGATGCCACGACAAAAACTGCCCAATAGGTAAATTATGTTGCTCTTGGATTTTACCTTTTCTGCTCTTTCAGCACCTGAACTTCATTATCTCAGTCTCGAATCCATGGCTTAACAAACTCTGAGCACAGAATAATCTCTGTTGCAATGCTTTACTCAAATATGCCTATCCTGCCCATATCTATTTTTTTTAGATATTGGCTGGCCTGCCATCTGAAATCCATTTATAGCTGATGTTTGCACTGGGAATGAATGAAATTGTGCATGTGTCAAATCTAAATCAGGGCGATGTGGGGGCTCACTGGTTTTAAGAGCCGGCAGCCCAGATTCGAGATCTGAGCACCGGGCAACGGAATGAGCTCCCATCCTCACCCAGCTTCTGCCAACCTAGCAGTTTGAAAGCATGCAACTGCGAGTAGATAAATAGGTACCGTGCTCCGTGATGTCATGCTAGCCACATGACCACGGAAATGTCTTTGGACAACACTGGCTCAGTGGCCCTTGAAACGGAGAAGAGCACCACTCCCTATAATCAGCAACAACTAGCAGAGTAAAATCTGCAGGGACTAAATCAGTGCAAAGTGTGATTTAAGATAAAACTTGTACAGTCTTCCTAGTAGAGGAAGTTTCTGACGTTTCTGGTTTTCTAAAACAGGCAGCTACGGTACTGGCCAAATCCACCCTTGAAAACCAAAACAAGAAAAGCAACACCCTCCCAACAGACTTCCATTACAATCCAGACAACCTCACTCAGCTGTTTCTCAAACCACAAATCAGGGTAAGATCTGCTTGTTCAATGTAAGAATCTTGGCAGTGATGCTTACAGCCTGCTACTCTGGGCCGAAGATTGGCTAAGATGCCTTGGTGGATTCATCCTTTCCATTAGTAGCAGCTGTTATTCTTTCAAGTTATTTTGTTTCTACAGCTATCGAAGATGTCACTCCAGGGTCGTTCACCCAATCATGATGATGATGATGAAGTTGGAGAATACGATTACAACAATCCCAATGATACCTCCAACTTCTGTCCCGCGGTGCAGGTGATTGTTAAAAATAAGAAGCGTGCTCTGTGTTAGACTGCCACCCTTTCTATCTGAAATTGGTGGCTAGAAGTTATAAAAATTGGTTGCTGAAAGTGGCAAGATTTAGGTAGGCTTGGTAATGAAACAATGGAGGGCCCACTACCGAGCCCTGGCCTATTCGGAATTAGGCCACGCAAGTGGCTGCCCGGAGTGCGCATGCACATATGTTGAGGACTACCTGTATTTCTTTTCTAGATCTCTCTGAGAAAGAGACACTGTGGAACTCTAGAGCTTGACTGCGCTCCTGTTAATTCCCCCCCCTTCTTTCTGTCCAGGATGATGACAGTGATGATGAGAACAGCCCTTTGAACTTTGTGGGTCAGGACGGGGTATTCGAAATGACAGCCCATCCTACAGGTAGAGAGGACCAAGATGGAGAACTTGGTGGAAAGGTCAGAGAGCTCCACATCTTCACCTACGGTGAAGCCAATATGGTAGCTGAGCCTCAAAAGGCGAGTATTAGTTTGGAATGCACAGTCCCAAAACTGTGTCTCCCCAAATTCCCCACTAGTGTCTGAAAGTGCCAGATTGGGAAAAGGTGATATATAACGTGACTTGATGATGGGTTGAAGATCTTCCTGTGACTTACCCATAGTCCAGGTAGATTTATTCATTTTAAATAAGGCCCTCCTGCAGGTTATATGGAATAGCAATACTTTGAAGGGCAAGGTTGTAGATTTGTCTTGGGTTATTACGACTCTTCTAACTCTGCCTAATTTTGGATTCCAGGTGAACAAAATAGACATTCAATATGCAAAAACTGCCAAAAAGATGGACATGAAGAAGCTCAAACAGACCATGTGGCACCTCTTGACAGAAGTCCCAAAGAATCAGGATAAGGAAGAGGTACACAAGAGGAGATCTGGTTTTGTTGTTGTTCTTGTTTTCTCCTTCGGTATCTTAGTTGACTTTCTCTGAACTCTGCTTCTTAAGGCAGTAACCGCACACTTTTAATCACTACTTTGCAAAAAGAAGAACTGCAAAATTTTATTTTCTTGGAAAAGGGTATCCTGAGAACAATGTTGCTCCTCCTTGCTTCAATAGGCAGTATTACAAGGTTAGCAATTATCTCCAAAAGAGAGTGATCCACAAAGATGATAAGGGAGCAGAGGCAAAACAACCATTCTTCATATGTTTTGCCTCTGCTCCCTTATCATTAATAAAAAAAATTTAAAAAAAGAAAAAGAACGGTTGCTGGAATTGGGGATGTCTAGTTTAATGAAGAGAAGGACGAGGGTATCCTGAGAACCAAACGTCTGAATTTTGATCACTTGACCACGGAGATACTGGAACGCTTGTGTGAAAAATGGTCACACAATGCCGTTGTAACTTTGAACGGTCACTGAACCAACTGTTGTAAGTCGAGGACGACCTGTACAGAGATCAGAACACAACAAGTCCTGCCTGGAAGGTTTATGATCTGACTGCTTTTATTTCAACGTTCCCCCTGCAGAGTGAAGGCCCAGAGGAAAAGGTCAAGTCTATATCCGTCGGAGGCTCGAAGGCCTTCAGCAGCATCACCACCGACCTACTTCACAGGTATTTCCCAGGGTCTCAAAACTCTTGTCAAATACCAGGAAGTGAGATGAAGATGCACTCATCTCCAGAGCAAAACCACTGCTTTTGAAACAAGTCCACCCCATGGAGCTTAGGGCAAGCCCCAGGGAGTCAAGAGTACTACAGAGGAACATTTACACGATGTGAATGGTTTGACAATTTCTCTGTCTGCTCCCAGGTTGGGGAATAATTTGTATTTTATCAGCAAGCCTTGCCTTTTAGAGAATTAATATGTCTGGCCGTTAAAGAAGGACTCTTTATACATTTGCTTCTTTAATAATTTATGCCCCACCTCAAGGCAGCTGATAACAAGGAAGCAAATTACAGGTAGTCCTTGACTCATGACCACAATTACGACATCATCAGTGGTATAGCACTGACGACGTTACCTAGTTTGATAGTGAAATGTCTGCAAAAAAACAACCAAGCTCAGAAAGCACCAAGGACCTCGCAGTTCTTTTCCTTCTCTCTACACACCCCCTCTCCCTTCTAGCACTGATGATGTTACCTAGTTGGGTCATGAAACGTCTGCATGAAAACTACCAGACTCAAGAGTCCACCGAGCTGTACAAATAAAAGATTCCTTGCTTCTCATCCCACCTTGTTCTGTCTTGTAGGCTGCCTTCCGTGATGGCAAAAAACCTCTCTGTGCCCTTGGCCTTTGCTTGCCTCTTGCACCTGGCTAACGAAAAGGTGAGTACCATACCCCCAGCAATTCAAGTACAGGTGGGGCTCGCCTTACGTCCACAGCTGAGACCAACATTTATGTCGCCGAGGGAAACATCTGCTAAGTGAGCTTTGCTCCATTTTACGACCTTTCTTGCCACGGTCGTTAAGCGAATCCCTCCCGTCGTTCATTTAGTAACGTGGTCGTTAAGCGGGTCTGCTTTCCCCCTTGTCTTTGCTTGTCAGAAGGTGGCAAAAGGGATCACACGATCCTGGGATGCTGCAGTGGTCATAAACATGAACCAGTTGCCAAGCGTCTTGAATTTTGATCACGTGACGGCAGGGACGCTGCAATGCTGCAAGTGTGGAAAACGGTAACAAGTCCCCTTTTAAGCACAGTCACTAAATGAACTGTTGTCAGTCGAGGACTGCCTGTAACAGGACAGTCATGTGGGGTGAACAGGATCTGTTCAGCCTATATCTCCTGGCTTGGCTAACCAGTTGGTGAAACCTTTGACAGTGCTGAGAAGGGACTTGCATTCGAGTGGGCAGTTTTACGGTTTGACATTTTATTCTTTCTTTTTTTTCCCCCTTCCACGCGTCCCCAGAATCTGAAACTACAAGGGGTGCAAGACTTGTCTGAAGTCTTAGTGCTACAAGAAGATTAACCCTGTGCTGTCCAACATTCTTCGGCCTCCACAAAGAGGGAATGTATCTGTCCTTTGAGACTTTTCTCCAGCTCACAAAGCGAAGGGCAGGAACCTCTGCCTAGCTCCCATCGTTTCTTCCTGGGATAAATAGTGTATGATTTTCAAATGATTCTGGCAATCGGATCTGTTTGTCTTTTAATGAGCCAGGGGGCTTTGAAAACACCCCCCCCCCCTGAATTTGGCCTCTTTGGCCCCGAGTGCGGGGAAGCCTTTTAACCCTCCTGTGTGTTCTTGGCACAATCACGGCACTTGTATGGCTTCTGCTTTTTAAAACGCGCTTCAGTTTTTCCCCCCCGCGCTGAACACGTTCCCATCCTTCTCCCTACAATTCCTCTCTCCTGTCGTCTTAAGTCATTTTATATATTTGTACAAATCTTTTTGTGTTTTTTTTAGAAATAAACCCAACCCTTATAGTAGTTCTGTTCTGCCTATGGCTTTCATTTGCTTTGAACCTCTGACAGAAGAGCCGTTGACTTGAACATACGCACATGCCTTTATCTGGATTGTTGCATCTTGTGCGGCAGTTTCGTGTGGGCGGTGGACGTAGCAGAGAAGAGCTTTGCTGCCTGTCGGGAAATGCAGCCATTTTAATTTGCAGCCGATCCAGAAAAAACTTCCCTCGTAGAGAGGCTTACCTTGATTTCATCAAGGAATAAGGAAGTTGCGCCAGACGGGTGACTTAACTGAAAACCGGAGTTTGCGACTCCACTTGCACAACCACATTATCTAATCACATTCGTAGGCACAATCTGTTACCTAACTGCTAGGTCGATGAAAGATACGATCTCCTTATTTCTGTTCAGATTGGTCAGGCTGTCAAGGTAGAGCCTGAGGTTTCGTTTCTGGTTTGCTATTTATGGAACCCCTTCAGCTGGGACGTTTCTGTGCCGAGAGGCTCTTGAGCAATTACACCAACGCAAACATAAAACTGGGCTTCATATCAATAAGGAAAACCTGTTTCCCTTCCCCCGCTGGGAAAGGACAAGGAAAATGTGACTTCCCCTCTCGGAAAAATTCACACCATATAACTATACACACACACACACACACACGTAGTCCTTGACTTACGGCCACAGTTGAGCCCAACTTTTCCGTTGCTAATGTGAAACGTTTGTTAAGTGAGCCTCGCCCCATTTTACCACCTTTCTTGCCACCGTTGTGAAGCGAATCGCGGCAATTGTTAAGTTAGCCACATGGTTGTTCAGTGAATCTGGCTTCCCCATTGGATTTTGCTTCTCAGAAGGTCGCAGAATGGGATCATGTGACACACACACCCCCCCGGGACTCTATTTACGACCATCGTAAATATGAATCAGTTGCCGAGTGTTCGAATGTTGAGCATGTGACCATGGGGATGCTACCATGGTTGTGTGAAAAACGGTCATGGGCCCTTTCTTCAGTGCTGTTGTAACTTTGAACAGTCACTAAATGAACCATTGTAAGTTGAGGACTACACACACACACACACACACACACACATATAAAATAGTTTTGAAGATACGAGTCTCGGGTATATTTATATTCAAAAACTAAAACACTTTAGTCTCGGTGATCTGTATTTTAGTTTATGTATGTGTGTGTATGTGTTTATATATATATGTGTGTGTATATATATATGTATCTATATATGTATGTATATATGTATTGGCAAGCTATAAAGCTAAAAATTCGACTCTTGGGTAAATCCATGATAAAACCAATAAATATCGATCACCAAGAGGAAAGTAATAAATAGTAAAAAATTTAATGAGCCGAGCTTTCGTATATATGTATCTATGTATGTATATATATACACACATACACAGATAGATAGATAGATAGATAGATAGATAGATAGATAGATAGATAGATAGATAGATAGATAGATAGATAGATAGATAGAGAACTATATATATACAGTAAGTGTTTTTCTGGTGAACCGGTCTAATAGCTATACTAGTCTCCCTTTAACCCTTTGTCGGCAAAATCTAAGTTTGCATATATATATATATGTGTGTGTGTGTCCTTTGTGGAAGAAATGGTTGCCCAGCCCTGTTTTAATCTACCCCTCCCCTCTTTCTTCTTGGAAAGCCCTTTTCAGTGATGGCGATAGCCAGGCTCTCAGTCTGAACTTTCATTCTGATATTTATGCTTAATGATTCCCAGGGAGCAAACATTCCTCCATCAACAAGTCATGACTGTTTGTGTATGATTTCTCAGCCTGTGCAATCAGCATTGCCAAAAAAAGAAGAAGAAGAAGTGGCTTGTCCATCAGCCTTGACTTGTTTGCCAAAGAGCCTCTGGGGGCGGAGGGGAGAGAAGGGAAATGTGTCCACAAGACTGGTGGGAAAATCGGAATTGGGGAAATTTTCCATTCACCTTGGCAGCCGACTGCACCAGCCGAGTGCGTGAACTTGATCGCCTTCCACGTGGTTGTCTTTTCATTCCCCAAAGGGAATTTTCCACCGGCCTCCCTGATCTCATTTTTTTAATGACTAACTCACCCTTTTCTTTTGTTTAACTTGGCTCTTCTTGTTAGAAAGTGCCTAAGCCCCTGGATGATTCACGTTGCTTAATGGCTGGAGGCAGGCTCGGCAGTTTTCTGAGGCTTCCGGATCTAATTTATTACACGGCAGCTGTAAGTTGTGGGTGACCGAGGAAGGGTTTGTAAGCAATGGCCTGAAAAGTAAAGGAAGGCTGAAGCGAGGCCCCCTTTTCTGTGGTTTTTGCATTTGACTTCAGGTCTGGGGAGTTTTCAGCCATGCCGGCTACAGATTAGTTGACTTAAAAGTCCAAGCCATCTGCGGTGGAACTGTTACCAGGAGAGCACAAAGCTAACCCAGCAAATACGACTTGATTACTCAAGTGTATTTAGATATCACTGGGGTTTATTTATTTTTTCTAATTTTATAGATGCTTTCTTATTTTCGGCTACTACATTTTAAAACCTAATATCTTTTAAAAATGGCACGGTGGCTTAAATAGTTAGCACACGACCTGATTCTCTGTCTAAAACGTTTTTGTGAGTCAGATCTCTCCGAAGGTTTGACTGCTGGCTTACATCACTGTTTTTGAGCACCTCCTGTTCCTTCGATGAGGCTCAACTGCTGAGCTTTTTAGGTTTTGCTCTGCCTAATTTAGTATAAGTGTTTATCCAGTTTTACACTTGACTTTTCTATTAAGTCTGATAAAGGTTTTTTTTTTACTTCTTTCACTTGTTTTGTGGGTTTACTTTTTTACTTGTGGCTGATGGGGGAGGCAAAAGAATGTGTCAGGCATCTACAGGATGATTAGGACAGGAAAAAGGAGACAGGTTTTGTCTTCTCCACCTTTTATTCTGGATCACCCAGAAAAATGGGCATCAGAGCTTTTCAAGCACTTTCTTTCAACAATGCAATATTAGCTGTCAAAGTGTTGCCTTCACGTCCTGTCTAGCCATTTCCTCAAAAACAACTGGATCACCATGGTTAGAAATGGGCTGCTAAAGAAACTGGTTCTTTGATTTCTTTCTTTCCACATTTCCTGTTACGCATCTTTGAACATCACCTCTTTATACCCATAAATATCAGGAAATTTAAGGAAAACAACAAGGGTGGTATCTCAATGGTTTATTACAAATTCTTTCTAGAAATTACAGATTTTTACAGAGAAGCAAGTACAAAAAAAACATTAACAGAAACCGATGATATAGGTTGACTTCTTGCCATTTAGAAAATCTACTCTAAAATACTTTAAATTTCCAGTTGTTTCTATTCTGAATTCTTCACAGCATTATATTACTGATTTTTTTTTATTGGTTCTGACTGGTGTCTTTAAAGAGCAGATTGAAAACAATTCAACTGCAATTGTCATTCATTTTTCTTCCAAGGCAGAAAGCTATCAGTACCCACCATGTACCTGCCCCACTCCGTTAAGAAATTTCTGTCGTTCAGAAGATGAAACTGTTTTAAGTTTAGTAAATGATTTCTTTTTTAATTTCCCAAAATGCGAGAATGAGGGATTTCCTCATATGTTCTTCTGAGCAAACTTCGATTTTCACATAAGGCCAGGACCCAATTTTGTTTTAGACTATGACACGATATGACACAGCTATGACGGATAGCGCCTAAAGGGTCCTGGAAAAACCAGAAAGCTTGCACCAGTTTTGCAACCTTCATAGATGGAAAGGTACTCACTTAACACAGCGCCTCTGGTGAAGAAACCTCTGCCAAAACCTGATCATCTAAGATTGCAAGAGGCATTTGTTTATTTATTTTCTCCCTCTTAGCTTTCAACGTACTCAACGTATAAGCCCTGCCGACTTTGAGATGGTTTGATTTTGATCTTGTAACAACGAATCACAGGAAATTATCCCTTTGTCTTTGGTCTGGAAGGCCTAAATTTCCAGATGTTTCCTGCAAAAGGAGTTCCCATCTCACTGAGCAGGAGAAACAATAGAGAGGTTTTTTGCTTTCAAGAATTCCTCTCTTAATGTCTCTTCAGCTCCTTCTGGTGACTCCTTAAGTTTGGAATTCGACTGTTTGTTCTTGCAATGCTGTTTATTTACAAGCCTGGTCATACTCCCCCCTCTTCCCGAAGGCCGCAGCTGCTTGGTTGGATGAGGTTGTGTTCTCTGAAAGATAAAATTCTCTCATTCTCAGGCAACATCAGTATCACAAGCAAGCCAAGACAGGTAGCAGATTTAAGCAGGATTTCCAAAGGTTTTGGTTAACCTGTGAACTGTCTTTTGCCCAGGAAGAATTCCCTGGCTAATAACGTTTCTTGCCTTAGAAATTTTCAACAAGCCCTTCCACTAATTCTTGTGTCTCTGAGAGCAGACAGGGCTGGGGATGCCCCTGCTGGGAAAGTCCTGGAAGTAAGTTTCAAAGCTGTCAATCTTGTGTCGGCTGGCGAGTGTGAGGACCACCATCTTTTTTACAAAACGAAAAGTTTTTGGATGCTGCTTTCTCGCATATCCTATGTGCGTCTCCAGTGCTTTCAGCCATCAGATCATTCATCCCTCTAGCATCCTTATTCATTGCTTCTGTCCCTTATAACCAAACAGTGCTTTTTTTCCCTTTTTTTTTGGAGGGGGGGGAGGTCTTCCCGACTGCTTTCTTCGACTCTCCAATTCTTGCCCTTTCCTACTAGGACCGACATATTTCTGGCGCACCGCCATAGCGCGCGTTTTGTCACCGCAGGGAACTGCCACTCTCCGATCTTCCCAACCAGCTTGGCAGGCCCTCGCTCTCGGCCAAAGTGGAGATCTGGAGGATTTTCTTCACCTTCTCCCGACAGAGAGGGCAGCGGGCGCTGGTCCTGAAAATCTTCAAGGAGCAGCTGGAGCAGAAGCCGGTGTGGCAGCAAGGGAACATCATGGTGCTGGCCCGAGACTCACAACAGACCATGCAATCTTCCGCAGTGCTCTCTTCGGCTCCTGCCTGTAAGTCCAGGGTGGGGGGATCTGCAGAGGCATAAACATTTCACAGGAGAGTTTAAAACAGGCGGCCAGCCGAACTTGGCAACTTTAAGACTTGTGGACTTCAACTCCTAGAGCAGGGGTAGTCAACCTTGGCTCTTTTATGACTCGTGGACGTCAACTCCCAGAATTCCTGAGCCAGCTTAGCTGGCTCAGGAATTCTGGGAGTTGACGTCCACGAGTCATAAAAGAGCCAAGGTTGACTACCCCTGTCCTAGAGCCATAGTGGTCTGGCCCCACTTTTTGCTTCCTTGTGTGGTTCCACACCCAACAAGCCTTACAGATTGTGTTTGCATTGTTACCGCACAATCACTTTAGAATAAAATGGAAGTTCTGTCCCCCAGTTTTAAGGAAAGGGGGAAGATATGTATCCTGCAGGTAGTCCTTGATTTAGGACCACAATGGAACCCCAGCATTTTTGTTGCTAAGCGAGACAGTTCTTAAGGGAGTTTTACTCCATTTTACCACCCTTCTTGCCACGGTTGATAAGTGAATCACTGCAGTTGTTAAGTTTACTAACAACAGTTGTTAAGTGGATCTGGCTTCCCCATTGACTTGGCTTGTCTGACGGTCACAAAATGGGACCACATGACTCCGGGACACTGCAATCGTCATAAATGACCAGTATGAGGCAGTTGACAACCATCTGAATCTTGATCACATAACTAGGGGGATGCTGCTACAATTATAAGTATGAAAAACTGTCTTCACTCACTTTCTCTCATATTTATGATGGTTGCAGGGTCCTGGGGTCATGGGATCACCTTTTGTGACCTTAAGACAAGCAAAATCCAATAGGGAAGTCAGACAGTTGTCGAATGGGACAAAACACAGTTCATAAATGTCTCAGCGACAGGAACTCCTCTTCCCTAAAAAAGCCACACACACTGCGAATTGTCCAGCCTGCAGTTGCTTACCGAGAAGTTGGACTGCTTTGGTTCTTCCGTAGACGTCCACAACAGCCCAAAGAGGAGATTCAACCGAGACACCCTTGAAGAGGAAGGACCTTTCAGCCTCAAGGTTGATGCTGCAGAAAACACAGCCCTGGCCGTCCACCCAGAAGCTGATAATGTTATCTTGTCCTATATATTCATCTGGTATAACACACGCGCAAGTCTTCCCTTGGATGACCAAGTTTGGGCACACAAACGGAGGCAAGGGACCGAAGCGAAGGCAAGGGTTTTTCCAGGTGAAGCCCACCCGTAGGCCACCCTTCCACTTCTGGTCTTCTTGTAAGATTTTCAAAGTCACTTTCTCATAAGGTTCTACGGGCCGGTTGGAGAAGACGATGCCATCATGGAAGGTGTCCATTCTACTTACTGTACAGCAAGACTCATCCATAAAAATCTGGGATCCTTTGACGTGAGGGTGGAAGAATAGTGGGCTGTAGGACGCTTCCAGAAAACCATCTGATTCTATGGAGACATGAATCATCATTAATATAATCCTAGAAAGAAGGGAGAGTAGAAGGCCTCAACCTGTTTACATCAATAAAGAATGCAGTATAATAGAGTTGGAAGGGACCTTCGAGATCTTTTAGTCCAACCCCCTGCTCAGGCAGGAAACCCTATACCATTTCAGACAAACGGTTGTCCAATCTCTTCTTAAAAACTTCCAGTATTGGAGCACTCACAACTTCTGGAGGCAGGTTGTTCCACTGAATTTCTAACGGTCAGGATTTTTTCCCTTAATTTCAGGTTGCGTCTCTCCTTGATTAGTTTTCATCCATTGTTTCTTGTCCTGCCTTCTGGTGCTTTGGAGAATAATTTGACACCCCCCCCTCTTCTTTATGGCAACCCCTGAGATATCATCTCATCTCTAGTCCTTCTCTTCATTAAACTAGATATACCCCATTCCAGCAACCGTTCCTTATATGTTTTAGCCTCCAGTTCCTAATCATCTTGGTTGAAAAAGCCTACATCACTATATAAGAGAAATAACACATAACGTCTGCTCTCTGCATCTACAATATACTCATGGAACTATTATGGAGGAGCTGGTTTCATCTTTACCTCACACATCACATCCCAACTGAGTTGTCTCTTACTCCTCTGGAATGTGTCCCCTCCTTCCCTCCCTCCCTCCTGGGAAAGCACCTCCTGATTACATGCCATCTCAGGTATGTCAGAAAAGTCAAGGGGGATGTGCAACCACACAATCAAAGCCTCACTTCTTTTTATGTGTGTCTCCCTCACACACACAAACCCAGTTGAAGCTTCCATCGCATCATTGCAGTTGCTACCTTGGCTTTTTGACCATCTCCTGTGGACATCCCCTACTGTGAAGTAGATTGGGGTTAAAAGATAGTGACCGGCCCCAAATCATCCAAGAATGATCCATAATGTAAAGCTGTGATGCTCAGGATGCTGAAGCTGGTACCTAAATGCTCGGAGATCTATTTTATACCACACGAGTGAAGAATACTGAATAAAGTTCTGGTCACCACAAGCCCAAATAAGATGCCGAGAACCCTAGAAAGGGTGCAGAGAAGAGCAGCAAAGATGATAAAGGATCATGGAGGCTAAAAGGAGCTGGATATGTCTAGCTTATTGAAAAGAAGGGTTAGGAGGGACGTGATCACTGTCTTCCAGTGCTTAAGGGGCTGCCACGGAGAAGAGGGGGTCATTTCTCCAAAGCACCTGAGGTCAGGACAAGAATGGGAGGAAGCTTGTTAAGGAGAGATCCAATCTAAGAGTAAGCAGAAATCTTTTGACAGAACAATTAGTCAGCAGAAGAGCTCGCCTCCAGAAGTTAAGGGTGCTCCATCACTGGAAGTTTTCAAGAAGAGATTGGACGCCATTTTACCAGGATGGCATAAGGCCTCCTGCCTTGAACAGCGGGTTGGATTAGAAGACCTCTGAGGTCTGTTCTGGCCCTATGATTCTGTGTTGTTTTCTCCTGGTTAATGACCGCAATAAAGTTACTTGAATTTATGTTCTATGCTCAATGTTTTATTACCCTGATAATGATGAATCGTGGCAGTGCAGTTTCTGTTTAACTACGTTGGGGGACATCAGAGAGATGCCCATATTAACAGCATCCATGTTAACAGCACGAGTGCAGAGCTTGCAAATCCTCACGTACTTGGTTTTCTGGGACACTAAGGAAGAATTGGGAACTTTTTGACCTCGGAGCACTCAGCACCTTCTCAAGGTGCTCAGCTCCCCGGGAGAGCGAAACAGGTCTGGTGGGTGGAGACCAGAAGCTCTGCCATGCAGATGGCAAACGCTTTCTAACTGTACAAGGGCCTCATTTTCAGATCTCCTGCCAGCCTTACATGAGTTTATTGTTGCAGATAAGGGAAACATAGATAAAGGATTAAAGTTTATACCTATGCGGGAAAACAAGATAAGCCTTGTGTGGGAATAAAAAAACAATCCAACCTCAAAACACGAAATGTGTGGGTTTGCAAAATTCAGCATTAATTTTCGAAACCGTCTGGGTCTAAAAGGGAATAAAACCTGGAATGTGTTTAGAGGCAATAAGTCATTGAGTTACTTTCACTTTCATTCTTTCACTGAAAGTGCAAGGAGAGCTAATTTTCCAATAAACAGGCCTATGCTAAAGAAGTTATTTTCAAGCCAAGGTTAGGGGGGGGGGGTCACATATCTGAACCCTTTCTTGGTGCCAAAAATCCAGGCCATAGATAAGCTTATTCAGAACAACAGAATAACAGAGTTGGAAGGGATCTTGGAGGTCTGCTAGTCCAACCTCCTGCTCAAACAGGATACCCTGTAACATTTCGGAAAAGTGGCTGTCCAGTCTCATCTTAAAAACCTCCAGCGATGGGAGCACCCACAAGTTCTGGAGGCAGGTTGTTCCACTGGTTAATTGTTCTCAGTGTTAGGAAGTTTCTCCTTAGTTCTTCTCTCCTTGATTCATTTCCATCCATGATTTCTTGTCTTGCCTTCTGGTGCATTGGAAAATAGGTTGACCCCCCCCCCCTTTTCTTTGGGACAGACCTTTATTTCAGCGGAGGAATGAATGTTGTGCATTCATTTCAGGAATGCTTTTCTTTGTCTTTCCCTAGAACAGTGTTTCTCAACCTTGACAATTTTAAGGCATGTGGACTTCAACTCCCAGAATTCCACAGCCAGCATTGCTGGCTGTGGAATTCTGGGAGTTGAAGTCCACATGCCTTAAAATTGTCAAGGTTGAGAAACACTGCCCTAGAAGCTAACATATGGCAGGGGTAGGCAACCTTGGCTCTTTTATGACTCGTGGACTTCAACTCCCAGAATTCCTGAGCCAGCCATGCTGAGCGGAAAGGGAGAGGTTTCCAAGCTGAGCCATGCTAGCTCAGGAATTCTGGGAGTTGAAGTCCAGGAGTCATAAAAGAGCCAAGGTTGCCTACCCCTGCAGTAGGGGATCAGAAAAGTATGCAAAGAGCCATTGTGATGTTGAGCTTTGATGCCTGCCTTCTCCAGAGTCCTAAAGCTAAACAATAGCCAATGGACAGGTCAGGACCCAACTGCCCCGTATCTACAAACAGCACAGAATATGGAATAACGGGATTTTGGAGGTCTTCTAGTCCAACCCCCTGCTCAGACAGGAGATTCTAAGCATGAATTCTGCTTAGACCCTAGCAGTGAGCCCATTCAACCAGCCGGCCATTTCTGTGGAGTCCGTAACTCCTGTCTGTTGAGAAATCAAAGCATTCTTTCCCCATTGAGATTCCCTGAAAAGGACATTTAGAATCCCACACAGTTGTTCTGCTGAGAGCATGTTAACTAGTTAACTCTTTAACTAGTCTGGGGCCAGAGAAATTCTGAAATAGGCTCACTGCAGATAGCTTCTACATCCTTACTTTAACTAGTGCCCAGTCCTAACCCAGAATGAAGCACGGGCACTCAGCTGCCAACATTCAAAGTCTGCTTGCAAAAGGGGGCTAGCTATGAGGTAGGAACTCATTGTCATAGCCCCAAAATCCCAATGGCGAATTACGTCCCCTTGGTGGCTTCTCCATAGAGGCCAGATCCATCATCTGATTCTTGTCACAGGGTCACTTGTGAGTGGTCATTCTCTCCTCCCCCATGACACTTGGTAGAATTTTTGAGGAACTACAGTTTTCTCTTTCGTTCTCTCCATGGGTATGGGTCTCTACCTCCCATTTCCCCTAGCCAGTGTCTGGGCCTTATGGGACTTTAACCACTGAGCACATCTGGAGGGAAAACCTTCTAGCAGTGGTTTTCAATCTGGGCAATTTGAACTCCCAGAATTCCCCAGCCGAAATACTGAAAAACACCGTTCGAGGCTAGGTCCTACTGCTCAGCCTACAGCAGGGGTCCCCAACCCCCCCGGGGCCTTGAGCCACTTAGAACCGGGCCGCAGAACCACCCCCACTCACGCAAACAGTGGGCAAGCAGGTGCTCGCATGCTCCATTTGCGCGGACAGCCAGGGACGCATGCCAGCCACTTGTGCAAATAGAGCTGCGCTTGTACGCAGGCGCTTACCCACCGCTCACACAGAACCATCCCCTCCCCCACCCGCCAGGTTGGGGAACTCTGGCCTAAAGCAACATCAAGTAGCTGCTGATTAGATAGGAAGCCACCTTTATCCTTTCGGCCACCTGCCCCCCCCAGATATAATTTGAGAAGTTGATGGGCATTTTGATTCCAATCTAACTTCATGGCACGTGTGTCCTTATCTTCTAGCCATGCTGGCACAGGGATTCTGGGAGTTGAAGTCCACGAGTCATAAAAGAGCCAAGGCTGCCTATCCCGGCTCCAGCCCAACATAATCTAAATGAAAAGGCACAAAATAATCTAAATGATGATCATGCCGATAAAGAAGAATATTTGTAGCTCAGGGTTGAAATGAGGGGTCCTTGGCGCTCTCTGAGCTTGGTTGTTTTCTTGCAGACGTTTCATTACCCAAACTAGTAACATCTTCAGTGCTACAGCAGTGGTATTTATACACTATAGCATTGATGGTGTTACCTGGTTTGCGTAGAAAACAACCAGACTCAGCGAGCACCAAGGAACCCTGAGGATCATGCACTAAACCAGAGGTTTCCCAGCACAACGGTGACCCTTCTTAGCCTCTGCACCAGACCTCAGGGACACTGACCTAAGCCTTTAATTCTGGTTTTATGTCAAACCTTCAACGCAATTCATACCCAAAATGCAAGGGGAGAAAAGAGTAAACGAGGGATCCTGGTTTCATTACTGAATGAAGAAAACTCTGTGGGGAGTTATAAACGCCAAAAGCATTGCTTGATTGCCACCATCCCTCCTAGATGATTTGGAATGCAGTTTCCATCATCCAAGCAAGGAACTGTGGGAACTGCATCCCTACTCTTTTGGAGGGTCCTTGTGGAGAAAAGTCCTCTATATAGTATCATTTCTATTCATGCCCAGACAGCCTCCTTGCAACCTTGGATAAAAGTCTTGGGTTAGGACAGAGGTAGGCAACCTTGGCTCTTTTATGACTTCTGGAACTCCCAGAATTCCTGAGCCAGCCATGCATGAGTTGAAGCCCACGAGTCCTAAAGGAGCCAAGGTTGCCTACTCCTGGGTTAGGACAAAGCCCCCAAATGATGCTGGATCATGACCACAGCCAGGGAGACACATCTAGGCGGCCAGAAGCCAAGGCCCTCTGGGTTTTCTCTCCTGCCCTGGTGAGGGGAGCTTATCCCTCACAAATGAACTTATCAGATCCTTCATACAGGGTAGAAGAGCTGCAGTGCTCCAGATGTTGTTGGACACCCCACACCAGTATGACCAACTGCCAAGAACAAGAGAGGCAGTCCTTCACCAACATCTGGAGATGTCCAGCTTCTTCAATCTAGCTTCATCAAAAGCAGGATTCTTACTTTTTTGAGTTGGGTGAGGATCCCCAAATTTGGCAAATTGCTCCCGAAAAGGTCCACATTGAAGCCTACTCTGCTCTCCCAATCACCAGCTCCTAGGATTCAGGCAGGCTATCCCGAATGTAGAGGTTCTACATCGGCCTTCCAGGATAGCGCCCAAGGGTGCTTTTTCCAAAAGGCAACTTCAAAAAGTTTCTTTCTTTGGAAAACTTTCGCTTCTCACCCAAGAAACCTCTTCAGTTCTGAAGACCTTCTTCTGAAGAAGTAAAGCACTGAGGAACTGAACTGAAGAAGAAGCTTCCTGGATGAGAAGCAGAATGTTTTCATGCAATGAAATCCAAAAAAGTCTGTTTCCTTTTGGAAAACGGCACCCTTGTGACCTCCACGATGTGGCTGATGGAGACTATCCAGAGAGTTCAAGGGAAGCATCCATCATCCAACTGCCTTTCCTCTATTACATTTGCCCCTTCGTGCTTTAACATGACTTTGAAAGCAAGTTGCTGCCAATCTCTAGCATTTAAATATTTACAGTGCTCAGTTGCACGGAGCCTGGCGGCGGAGCTTCAGTGCCCGGAGCCAAGATGCTCAGTGTATGCTCAGAAATCATGTTGAGTACTTCCCTTCCAGGTTTGGCTGAAACAAGCATTTCAAGCCAACCTCAGTGTCCATAAAGCCACCTTGAAGGTTTTCCTTACCGTCATCAGAGGGACTAAGGCAGGCTCCCATGACTGGTGGGGCTGGGCTAGGTTGTGCTGTGTGTTGTGCGGTGCGGTGCTGGGCTGGGCTGGGCTGGGGGTGCTGGTTGCTGGCCACCTGCTTCTCCCTTCCCTGAAACCAGGCCGAAGAAGCAATTTTCCAGGTTCTCCGAGCACCACCGAAGCCTCTTGTTTCAAACCGAAAGGAAGGAAGCTGTTTTATACAGCACCCTTGTGAGTTAAACATTAATCATCACGGAGGTTTCTGGGGATGTGTGTTTTGAGTGTCACAAGACACCGCTTTTGTTGTTGTAGCAGGGAATTTCCAGCTTCTCTTTCTCTTTCTCTCTCCAGCTCTGAAAGCTGAGCCAGGGCACAGCCCTCCGGTTCGCATTATTACCTCTGGCTTCTTGCCCAAACGAAGGAACTGCTCCCGGCCTTTGCTCATCTCAGCACTTTGCCTGATGGAAAACTTCAGGAGTCGTGGGTGCTCTACCACTCCCTCTAGCATTCCCAAGTGCTTGCTACCTATCCCCCCCCACCCCCTAGGTAGACAGGCACATTTCTCACAAGGAAGTTCCAATAGCTAGCTAGCCCAAAACTAAAGGGCCACTAGATGGCAGGACCAACACATTGCTGCCATCTAGTGGGACGTCCAGGGTTTGCAGCTGAGTTTCAGTCTTGCTACCGTAGGGCAGTGGTGGCGAACCTATGGCACAGGTGCCAGAGGCGGCACTCAGAGCCCTCTCTGTGGGCACGTGCGCCATTGCCCCAGTCCTAGGCCTTCAGCTGGGTTTTATAAAACCTTTTCACTTTAGGCCTCCGCCGCCGTGTGCAAAAAAAAAAAAGGTTCAATCAATCAGTCAATTTCAACTTCTCGCAGGGAAAAAAAAAGATCTTGCAAAGTTGGAATTGATTGATTGAACTTTTTAGTCCCACCCAGTCTGCTGTTACCACCACAGCCATGCCCACCCAATGGGCCACGCCCACCCAATGGGCCACACCCACCCAATGGGCCACGCCCACCCAATGGGCCACACCCACCCAATAGGCCACACCCACCTGGCACCCGACAATGCATAAGTGAGTTTTGGGTTGCAGTTTGGGCACTCGGTCTCTAAAAGGTTCGCCATCACTGCCGTAGGGTTTATATGGGGCTTAAAGGTATTGCTGGAAATGCAATTTCTGTAGATCAATTTTATTTTTTTTTGCTTTGCAACATGCTTGTTTGCTTTTCTTAAAGCAGACCAGTGTCCCCTCAGATACTGGAACACTGCTAGCAGGTCTCCCCTATTTCTTCTTTTCTTTAGACTAGCCAAACCCAAGCCCCGCAGCCGTTCTTCGTATATTTCAGTCTCCAGACCTTGGATCATCTTAGTTGCTCTTCTCTGATTTTTTTCCAAGGTCTCAACATCTTTTTTGTAGTATGGTGACCAAAATTGGCTGCAGTATTCCAGGTGTGGCCTCAGTAGGGTTTTATAAAGCGGCAATAATACTTCATGTGATCTTGATTTTATGCCTCTGTTTATACAGCCCAGGATTGTAATCAGCATTTGCCTTGCCCTATCTGTGACTTCTGGGACTGGCACACTCTCAAAAGCTAATGCTTGGCTTCTGGCCCAGGAAAATTGGGTGACTCCTTATTTTAAGCCTCGAAGCAGAGCAGAGCGCTTCCCAATCTTGGATGACTCCAAAGAAGCTGAGCAGGCCTCCTTAGTCCTTGGAGAAGAGATCACTGAGCAATCGCAGGGCTGGAGGCAGAAGGAGACGCAGGTCACAGTGGCAAGCTACCTTCCTATCATTGCCGTTCACTTTTATCGATTAGTCAGTTGACCTTGTCAGAAATATACCTGACAAGAAAACTGCCTGGGCAGGAGCGCCCAGGCTTTCAGAGTAATCCAGATAAGAAGCAGAAGCCACGAGTATCCACATTACCTTTATTGTAAGGTTATAGCATAATCTTGCAAGTCTGAAAGCAATTTTCCCCTTCGTTCCTTTTACTCTCTGAAAAACTAGTACAGATTAGGTGAGACCAGAGAAGAGCAACTAAGATGATCCAAGGCCTGGAGACTAAAACATACGAAGAACGGCTGCAGGACTTGGGTTTGGCTAGTCTAAAGAAAAGAAGAAAAAGGGGAGACATGATAGCAGCGTTCCAGTATTTGGGGCTGCCACAACTATTCAAACTATTCTCCAAAGCACCAGAGGGCAGGACAAGAAACAACGGTTGGAAACTGACCAAAGAGAGAAGCAACCTGACGATGAGGACAATTAACCAGTGGAAAAGCTTCCCCCCAGAAATCGTGGGTGCTCCATCACTGGAGGTTTTTAAGAAGAGACTGGACAGTCACTTGTCTGAAATAGTATAGGTTCTCCTGCTTGAGCAGGGGGCTGGACTAGAAGACCTCCAAGGTCCCTTCCAGTAGTATTCTGTTCTAAGTACATGCCAGTTGCCACACATCTACATTCTGATCACATGACCGCGGGGATGTTGCAATGGACATAAGTGTGAAAAACGGTGTTACCGATCCATCAGATAGAAAAGATGTCATGTTGCAGATAAAAGAACAAGCTTGGGAAGTGAATCTCAGAAGTCTGGATGCCAATTATTTTCTCAGAAAATAATTCCAAATAAACTGACTCTTAATACTTTAAATCAGTGTTTCTCAACCTCAGCAGCTTTAAGATGTGTGGATGTCAACCCCCACGGAATTCTGGGAGTTGAAGACCACACATCTTAAAGTGGCTGAGATCTAGCCCCATGGCCAAAAGTTTCTTCTTCTGAATGGATTCGCTTTCTAATCAAATTTGTCTTTCCTCTTTCGATTCAGTCTTTAAGCCAATTAAGCTTTTAGTTGTTCCTTAGTTTGTCTTAGTAAGATTTTTCTTCTTCTTTTGAAAGCTTTTAATTGACTTTTACTTATTTTTTCCAATGAGAAAGAAGAAGAAAAGGACTTCCATTCTCTATTTTTGACTGGGCAAAAGGAACAATCCTTTAAAGGTTGAGTGATATTGAACAACAAACCAAAGTTTTGTTCAAATGAAACAGCAAAAGAGTGAAAGAGAAGTTTATCTGCAAGTTATTTCTGCACCTTAAATTTCCCCAAGTTATTTATTGTATTTTGTTCCTTCAAGTCAATATTGACTCCAGACAAATGGGCAAGTCCCTGTAACCTTCTGAGCAAGATTTCAGAAGTGATTTGCCATTACTTGCTTCCTAGGGCTAAGAGAGATGGACTAGCTGGCCCAAGTCCTCAAGTTATGGCAGAAATTTATGGCTAGGCATATGATGCTCTCATTGGCTTTATTACAGGGCGGATCTGTCAAAATGTTATATATCTCTTGAGGCTGCTTTGAGATGTGTCAAAATAAGGTGGAGAATTCTACCTTAATCTCAGTATTACAGGATATAGGGCTGGAAGGGACTTTGGAGGTCTTCTAGTCCAACCCCTGCCCATGGTAGGAGACCTTATACCACCCCAGACAAATGATTGTCCAGTTTATTCTTGAAAACCTCCAGCAATGGAGCACCAGAACTCCGGGAAGCAAGCTGGTCCATTACTAATGGTCAGGAATTTCTCCTTAGAATCTCTCTTTAAGGAGCTTCCACCCGTTACTTCTTGTCTTGTCCCCAGGTGCTATTCAAGAGAATAAGTCGAACCTCTCTTCTCAGTGGCAGCCCCTCAAGTCCTGAGAGGCAGTCATCCTGTGCCCTAATCCTTAGCTCCCTTAACCGTTCATTCTATGGTTTAGCTTCCCAGACCCCCAATCATCTTTGTTGCTCTTCTCTGCACTCTTTCTAGGGCAGGGGTAGTCAACCTTGGCTCTTTTATGACTCGTGGAGTTCAACTCCCAGAATTCCTGAGCCAGCTAAGCTAAGCTGGCTCAGGAATTCTGGGAGTTGAAGTCCACGAGTCATAAAAGAGCCAAGGTTGACTACCCCTGTTCTAGGGTCTCAGCGTGTTTTTTTGTACAGTATTGCGGCAAACAGAACTGGACACAATATTCCAAGTGTGGCTTCACTTTTATTATTATTATTATTATATTTGGATTTATATCCCGCCCTTCTCCTCGCGGACTCAGGGCGGCTGACAATCAATTAAAATACATAAATAACAATTCTTCTTCTTCTTGTGCCATATCTGTTATTGGATGTTGGCGATCCTGTTTTTATCAGCAACCGCACGAAAAAGTGCTGCTGAGTTTTGTCCAAGCCAGTCCCTTAGATTTTGAAGCCACGATGTTCTTCTTCTTCTGCCTGGACCTCGTTGGCCTTCCATCTTTCCCTGGAGGATGAAATGGAGTAGGCCGTATTTTTCTGGGTGTCGCATCCCATGTCCGAAATATTCTAATTTTCGTTTTTTAATTGTTTTGATGATTTCCCTGGGTGGCTTATCCCCTCCTCATTTCTGATCTTGTCCACCCAGCTTCTACGTAACAGCCGCCTGTAAATCCACATTTCAAATGCTTCTAGTCTCTTCAGGTGGCCTTCCGTCAGAGACCCACTCTCTACTCCATAGAGCTAGTACAGCTTAAGGCTGCTTCGCTCCTGGGCTGGGGATGAGATGAAGACACCAATCTGGGCATCCAGCAGAATAAAGCAATTGCCAGGACTTCATTGTGCTGTGTTTAAGTTCGGAAACCACTAATCCACGTAGGAATTTGAACGAGCCTCATTCTGCTATTTGAAAAGGACACGGACTGTTTTTCATTGAAAAAGTGAAAGTATACTCAACCTTGACAGAAATTAGTCACCAGGTTCGTGGACTTTTTTTTTTTTTTTAACCTGATAACCTTATTTGCAAAGGCACTGGCCCTCCCAAGCTGGAAATTTACTTCCAACATGAACAAGTGGATCTAGTTTCTCTACTGAGCTTGTCCAAAGTCACAAAAAAGTAGAGAAACTAGATCAGTGGTTCTCAACCTTTTTAATGCCGCGACCCTAACCGGTCGTAAGTCGAGGACTAAACCGGTCGTAAGTCAAGGACTAAACCGGTCATAAGTCGAGGACTAAACCGGTCGTAAGTCGAGGACTAAACCGGTCGTAAGTCGAGGACCACCCAACCGGTCGTAAGTCAAGGACTTTCC